ATTCCTGACCCAAAACAGGGAACGTGCCGCCCTTGACAGGCTTTTAGGAGATGCTGGGAGGCTATGTCCATCGCTTCCCTCTGTAATTGCTGCAGCTACCGAAATCCTTGCATGGTCCTAGGAGCTTCCAGCACAGACCTGCACCAACTGCTGGCTGTAAGGCTATCACCACCTCCATCCCTAGCAGTCCTGGCTCGTTTGGGCTGAAACGGGCTGGGAAACACCACACAAGGAGCATGAGATGTTCTGGGTTGGGCACATCCATCACTTGTGAGAGGATGCTGATAAAATCTGCCAGTGACCATGCATGAGCTTGATCCCACGCCAAAACCAGCTCTTGTTCGGATGCTCAGTCCTTCCTGGTGAGTGTTAAACACTCACGTTAGTGCCGGTGCATCACCGTGATGTGCCCTCCACCCCCGGGAGCTGCTCTCCTTAACCTGGCTCCATTCTGCTGCCGAGCCTGTTGTTAGCACTGGGTTTTGTTTTGGGTTTTTTTTTTTAATGTTTTCATGGGAACTCGGGTAATTCATCACTTGTAAAGCGCGCCGGGCTGTCTTTCTGGAACGCAGCACTAGAGGAACCGCTGGCACCTGAACTTTATTTAACCCACCTCTATAGAAGACCAGCAACTTCTTCTAAATATATCTATTTTTAACCCTTGCCTCTCTTCAAGTTACTTGGGGTAGCACCACCCTGCTCCTCATCTCTCTGTCTTTGCAGATGTACTCATGCACCGAAGAAGGGGGAGAGGAGTCTTCTGCTCCTGGTGAACGCGGCACTGCTGGGGCTTGTGCCTGGTGAAATCCCCGAGCCCTCCGAGGAGGCGGCCGTGGGGAGCGCTGGGCACCCAGAATTACCGGAGGCAGGTGCGAGAGCTGCTCTCACCTTGCACAGTTAATTAAAGGGATCAATTTTTGTTTGTTTTCTCCTGGCACTTGCAGTTGTGCTTGGGTTTAATAAGGATCTGAAAGCACCGATGCCAGGCATGGGGAGGGACCTTCGCAGCCCTCCTCTTCTTCGCCCCTGCGTGTTGGCTGCTACCCCTTCTGCCAGACCCGCGCTGCCGCTCATCCCATCTGTGGCAGAACCTGCCAAGTTGTGCCTTGTGGTTTTATTTTTTTTAATCTTGCAGATAAACCTCCAGTGAGCATGAGCAATGCTGGACTGCAAGGCTTTTGTTTGCAAGCTGAGATGAGGCTTTCTGGGTGGGAAGAGTGTCGAGGAGCAGGTTTAAACTCCAATTCCTCTTCCTTGTGTGTTCCCCAAGTGGTGAGGAAGCCCTGCAGCAATGTCATGAAGGGCTCGACGCCCTTCTTGTAGCAGGAACCAGACCTCCAGAGCGTGTACCTTGAAATGTGGGATCCGGGAGCTTCTGCTGCAAACAGAAGACCTCTCGGCTCTCTGCTGGTTCGGCTGTGGGCGAGCAGTCGCAGCTCCCATCGCATGTGCAAAACGATGATTTGAAAATACTGCTTGTCAAGGTGTAATGGTAACATCTCGCTGGACCGAAAGAAACAGCTTGCTTAGCTTGGAGCTCTCTTGTTTTAGGTGATCTGACCCTAGGGAGTCTGTGTTTGGGTCCCTTTCAGCTGCAAGTAAATCCTTCTAAATGTGAACTAAGGAGACCAGAAGGTCTGGCAGATATTGAAATTTTGCATTCTGCAGGGTCCGCCACTTTGTCGGATAAATCCTCTCCAGCGAGCGTGAGCCAGCCTCTGGCCAGATGTTAGACATCGCAGCCTGATGTCCTGTTACCTCCTGACTGAATTAGCTGCTCCTCTTCCTCCCCTGGCCTCCCAGGTTAGCAACAAAATCCTCCTTAGCGGAGATTGTCTGTAAAATCACGGAATAACGGTGATTTCTGTGTGCCTAGAGATGGCATCTCCTTCCGCAAAAAAATAATCACTTGATCCTCCAAGATCAGCTTTCCTAAAGAGAACTGCCTTTCTAGCTGAGGATTGATGGTGATCAGTGTAGGTTAATTTAATAAATCCCTCCTCCCAGGGCATGTGTGCATAAAAATACAAGTAAAACTGTACACAGCAGCTTGTCTTCATGGGCTGAAGGTGCTCTTGGCCTGGGCGAGGTATCAGCTACATACTAATCTGTCCTGTGTTTCTTTTAAGCATCCTTTCTCCCAGCGCTGAGGACGCTGTGCCTGTTTCAGGGTGTTGCGCTGATGTAAGGGCTCGGAGGACCTGGATTTAATTACACGAGAAATGGCTGCGAGTTTCCTGATCTACCTGGGCCCTGGTTTCCAGTCTGCCGGTTGCAGTTATCTCAGTTAGGTCTTGCTGAGCTCCAACCACGTGTTTCCACAACCTCTGTGGCATCAGCTGTGGTGTGGGTCGGACTCTTTTACAAGTAGATTCAGCTGCCAGAGAGGGGATGGGGCGGTGTAGGAAGGGCAGGACCTTCCTGCTGTGCTCCAGGGACCTCCAAGGTTGGGTTTTTTTGTCCTTCCCAGATGAGTGTGGCCATCTGACTGCTGACCTCCCTCATCTCGCCTCTCTTGGACTGTTCCTTCTTCACCCTTTATTTTGTCTCTCTTTGCTTTGACGGTAAACCGGTGGATTGGGTTGTATCTCACTTGTTTCTCCATCAGTAAAGTCTAGGAGAGAAGCAGCCCCAGCTATCAGCTATCTGCTGGAAGCAAAAATGGTAATATTCAACCCTTGATTTTCCTACCTGGTAAAAGTTCCCTCTCCTGGGTTTGCATCGGGGCTCTCTGCATCCTCCTCTGCAGCGGCACAGCCACCCTCATCGCTGCTGAAGGCTTCGCTGACAGCTGGGGCAGAAGCATTGCCGGGCGGCAAGTGCCTCAGTTTCTATTTAAACTGATTAAACCCATCGACAGTGTTAAATGAGTTTAATCTACTTAATTTGCCCCGTGGGCTAGTGTACTGTTCTATAGATCCAGCAGCCTGCCGAGCGTGTTGCCGGGATGTGTATGCAGCGGGAGGTGGGATGGAGTCCTGCGAGCTTGATTTTTCAGGGCTCGGGTTTTGAAAATGCCTCTGCTTGAAGCTTGCAGGGTTTGACCTGGGTGAGGAATCAGCCTGGGGGTTGCACATGGCTGAGGTTGTCTAATGGTTGTCCATTGGAGGCCCAAATTATTTGGGAGAGGTGTAAAAAGAACAACCTTGAAAAGGGGGAGAATTAGCAGCCGAATACTGGGGAGGTGTGTGCGCTGGGGAGAGAGCTGGCTGCTGACTCTTGAGCTCTCCTGGAGAGAGGTGAAAGGATGGGTGAACTTCTGGGTGTTGTTTGGATATCATCGTCTCTGTCACCACCGGCTCCACCACCCATTTGCTCAGAAACCTGAATTTGCTCCCCTTATTTGCACCCTGTGACCGACCTGCACCCCTGTTTGTAGCACTTCCAGAAGCATCTCCGGTGACTGGATAACCACCTTGTACCCTAAATACTCTTTTTCCCCTGTCCTTCCTCTGTACCCTCCTGGGATCATTGTTTTTTTTTTTCCCCTCTGATTGTGGATCTTCTCTGGTGTTTCCATCTTGAGTTTATCACTGGCCTGAGACCTAAAAGGGAGCTGGGCTGAAGTTCAGAACTTTGCAAGGCAGCTGGGGTCCATTATCCTGCTGAGCTCCTGGTTGACCTTGCCTTTTCTGACTTGTGTGGGTCACTGCCATCTCCTGATGCAGATGTGCCCCTCGCTAGCGAGAACCCACAATCCAGGACAGCATGGATGTGTCTCACTGCTCTGTGCTCTTCCCTTTCCCTCCCAGGGAGCTCAAACTGCGAAACTACGAGCCTGAAGATGAGGAGCTGAAGAAGAGGAAGGTGCCCCAGGCCAAGCCAGCTTCAGGTAGGTGGAAGTGGGAATGTGGGAGGTGAAACGAAGGAGCAGGAAAGCAGAAGTGTTGCTGACGGTGGTGCTGGTGCCTGCGGTGAGGGCCTCGCTGCTTTGCTCTGTTCCGGAGGTTGTGGGCAAGGCAGATCACGCAGAGCCCTTTGGAGGGATTCGGTGACTGCTGTAATGAGCCCCTCTCTAACAGCACATCCTATCCTCTCCCTCCCCAGAGGTGTTCCCAGAGGGAATAAGGCAACACTTGAGGTTGTGAGAACAAATAAAACAGCATGGGACTCTGCATCTGGCCAGCATGCTGCAAAGTGGATGGGTTATACCTTTCCTTTCCAAAAATCAGGTGGCTTGGAAACCTCTCTGTTCCTCCTAGTTCCAACCCAAGGTGGAAAAGCCACTGGGACATATTTGGGTAGGAGCTTGCTGGTGTGTGAGGTCCTAGGAGACAAGTGTCTGCAGCCCTGGAGGGGGCTGGCATGTCTGAGCAGCCGTGGTGGGAGCCCCGGAGCTCTCCCAATGCTATCGGGCAAGCGTGATGCTTGCGGCCCCCGTTGCTTCATCATCCTCTCTTACCTGTGGGGACTGCACACCCTGCATTGCACAAGTGGGGTGTGTATCCGAGCACGCCGAGCTCAGCCCCAAACCAAAGGGTTGACACTCAGGGGAGCCGAACTCTCGCTAGAGGATTCTCAAGGAGATTCAGGCTGTTTTTTTGTTTGAATTACCTTTAAACAAATATTAGTCATGAGTCCAGGGCGTTCAGTCTGCTATTTCCTAGCACTGGACCTCTGTGCAGCTCTTGAGAGGGAGGCGAACGGTAGAAGTTTCCTTGATCTTGAAATATTGAGTCCTCCTGGAAAAGATCTCTTTAAAAATGCCCTAAATAAAAAGGCTGCCTTTGGGAGCACGGCAGAGATCTGGTAGGCAGGAATGCCGACGCTGCGCTTTCTTTATCCTTTTGTAAAAGTTTAAAACTTCCCCTGACTCTTCCCCGGCGTGTGGTTTGGAATTGGGAACAACAATTTTGACTGTTTCCAGTAAAACTCACGCTCTCTGCCAGCCCTTCGTTGGAGCTGCAGTGCCCATCAGCTCTGGTTCCCGTGTCTGGAGTAACCAGCCTGTCTGTCCTCGGGCACTTTGTGCAGGGGCTGGGGAGGGAGGAGGGCAGAGGAGCTGAGGCTTGGTGTGGGTTTGTGTTAAATGTGCCTTGGGCATAGCTGTTTGCTGGAGCAGGATTCCCCCCTCAGGGATCATATCATAGAATCACAGAATGGTTTGGGTGGACGGGACCTTAAAGCCCGTC